AAATAATACAATAAATGAATTTTATAAAGTTTTAAAAAAGTTTTTCTTGTCTGTATGGCTTCTGCTGAAGTTTATGATAAAGAAACATAACATGTCATTTTTCATATCAGACCCCTTATCAGCCCATGGTCAAAATCATCCCTTGAGCCTGTCGGCTCTCGGGCTGATATCATGACCTAGGGCTGATAAGGGATCTGATATGAAAAATGCCATGTTATAATCTATATTTATCATAAACCTAGAGTAAATTACTTATATTTTTTACAGTATGATAATAGCATTAAATTTACGTAAATTCCATATTTTCCGAATTGGTGTTTAGCGGGCTGATATGAAAATTTTATCGCATGCTTCAGCTATTATTACATGCCTTTCCGTAACGTTATCGCATGGCATTCCGGCGTTACTCGGCAAATTCCGGAAAATACACCTCAATTCTACGGTTTCGGTGAAAAAATACTAAGTAGGATACAAAACATATATAAGGTAACAGGAAAATATATTCTGTATAATGCAAATTATCAATTGATACAATAAATGCATTTTCATAGTTTCCATCATAATTTAGAAAGTTACTTTACAAAATTGTTGTTGATCTTTCAACAGGGTTTATTATGTTTTGTTAAATTTTTATTTATCGTCTGTATAAAATTATATTAAACTGTTATTTTTCTCCATTGTTGAAGCATATGATAAAAAAATCATAACATGTAATTTTTCATATCAGATGTATTATCTAGCCTCGGTCAATATCAGCCCTCGAGACTTGTACGATTGAGTTCAGGTCAAACGGAGTAAGGCATTTGAATTTTAACATTAGATAAATTAATAGCATGTACTACAATATTGATAATGTGAATTTTGACAAAAACCTGATAATCTAATTCATATGACCATGCTTTCGCGACTGTCTTCTTCTACATTTTTGTAATCTGCCAAGCAGTAGTTTGAAATGAACTGATATGTCACATAGTCGTGCTCTTAACAAGAAAAATGCTGAATGCTTGAAACACATGTTTATTTAAAATGTTTATCTTCTATGCTGCAGAAATATTAACAAATTATAAACAATATCAAAACAGAACATCTGAGTAATAGATGATCTTATTGATCTTCAATATCCAGATTGTTCCTGATAGTCCTAAGTGTAATGTTTCCTCCAAATCGTCCAAATCCAAGACCTAACTTATAGATCATAATAGTCTACAACTAATACTATTAGCATGAATTTTTGACATAAAGTTTCTTTTTAAATAAAACGACTGTAAGTTATGTGTGTAAAATAATAATCATTTGAAAAGAATATATATATTTCATAATTGAATAGTTAAACTAGAATGAGTTAAAATCAATATTTTAAACACACAACATGGTGTCTTTGATAATTCATCGTAAAAAAGTAAACCCATGTGTTTGAAAAGTTAAGTAAAGAAATTTTGAAGATTTAATGAAACATATTACCACAGGTAAATTGATAAATACACATTTACAACTACAAAAAGTACGTACTGCCTGGTGGGAAAATTTAGAAAAAAAGATCTTCCCAGTATTGAAAATCTTACAGTATTTCAATATCAAGTTTTCAAATATTGCAAATCCATTTCAACGAACGGTGATTACTGATAATTTCTAGCAATGGGATTATATAATATATAAATGGGACCGTTCTTGTGATTACGATAAACTAGAGCTATCCGCACAGCGGGACTTTTATCCATCCCATCCTTCCCCTTTTCCTGTGTACGTGCAATTTGGTTGCTGCTGTGAAATTCAGAATTGAGAATATGGCAATTTGAGATTTTTGGCTTTCAGTCATATCAATTATTAAGGTCAGTCAAATTTCTGGGGGTCAAAGATCAAAACCACAATGACCTTATCTTACTGAAATCACTTTCCCATAATGAATTTGCACACTTAGTTTGGTTGACCCAGGTCTCCAGAGATCAGTTGTGCCCCTAGCAATAACTGTCATAGGGGTGAATGGTCGCCGTCAAGGTTATTGTGACCTAATTTTGGTATTTGACACATCCTGATCTCATGATTCTTCTCATGTTACTGCCTTGTGGACAAGGTTCACTTTAGGTCAAGGATGGCCTTGAATTTCAAATTTATCTTAAAATTTCAAACGGCCATACTTTGGTTCTAAAATGGATATATCTTAAAAGCCTTACTTTTTTGTTAAATCTCTTCATAAGAGTACATTGTTGGCTTCAAATCAGCAGATTTTGGACATATTGTCAAAATACGATGATTTTGAGGTTTTTTTTTTACCTAAAAGCACGAGGAAAACATTGGCCGCAACCTAGGATCCAAAATGTTCTCAATGCTCGTCAACTTTATACTTGTTTGGCTTTCTAACTATTTTGATCTGAACGTCACTGATGAGTCTTATGTAGACGAAACGCGCGTCTGGCGTATTAAATTATAAGCCTGGTACCTTTGATAACTACTGTAACCTAGAGTTGCCAATGATGATATTAATTCCCTAGACACAAAAACTTTTAATTGAAAATTTGACCAAAACTGATGTTACAACGCAAATATGAAATACCTAAAGAGTCCATACTTCCTCATTTTTTAAAACGATGTGCAAAAATAAAGTTATTTTGTATTAATAGTTATATCATAACTTTTTGTATGTGAAATTTGCAGTATAATGACCCGATTAAAAGAACATCAAAATCTAAGGGCCAATTTTTACAATTCGTGAACTTACTCCAACGTTTGTCAATCTACGTCATAAGGTACAAAAGTAATTAGGAGATCTGCTTTCAGCTACGAGTACTCATGGTTCGTTTATTTGTGTCTTTATGTTATTATTTTGTGTAATAAGTGTTGTGTTGTTACACCACTGTACCAATGAAGGGGGAAAGTAGGAGGAGTTGAGTGGGTGGAGGTGTTGAGGGGTTGGGTGGGTGGAGGTGGGGAGGGGTATGGTGGGTGGAGGTGGGGAAGGTTGGAGAGCGCAAACAAATATATTAAGCCCTGTTATGATTGCTTAAAACCAGTGGTTGTCGCTGGCTGCTATCTGTCATATTTGTTTTTTGTTCAAATTTGTTTCATTCAAATCAGGCCGAAGGTCTTCATTTTTTAATCGTTTTCATTTTTTTAGCTAGTATTTGTTATGGTTTTTGCTCGATGTTGAAGGTCATACTTTGACTTCCAATTGTTCACATCTTGTTCAATTCTAGTAAGTTTTTATTAGTCATGTATGAAGAGCAAATCTAGGTCGTTTTTTTATCCAGTCGAAATGTATTGGAAAAATGTATATATTTAGGAAGAATTTAGAGGCATCAGTAGTTAGATTATCTTACCTCGTATATTTAACTGAAATAAACCATTCAAACGTTTATTGTCGTTATAAATGTCGCTTTACCTTAAGCACATTCTCAAACTGTTTTATTTAGCATATTATGTGAAGAATCGTCAATTTAAGGGCATTTAATATCTTAAATAAAGTTATTCTAATTAGATATATTTTCATCTGATATTGGATGGGAGATGTTGCCATTTTATGTAATATAAGTTAAGATTGTTTGAAAAGTCTTATAAAACAGCCAAATGGATGCACAAAAGTAAAAATAGGAGTCACAAATCCGATTAAATATAATTCTCTGTCCAATTTTATTGATTCTGTAACGATTGTTTCAAATAGAACCAACTTTTTACAAAAAATCACCAGCACCGTATCAGGACCCACCAGCACAATGCCAGGACCCACCAGCACAGAATCAGGACATGTCTAAACTGAAAAAATGCACAATTTTAATAAATTGGACAGGTTTTTTTTCACAAAATAATTTTATTGTTGGGATTGAGGTTTAGAAAGCAGACTCCAAGAGCTTTTTTGTTTTATTTTTTCAGTTCTAAATTTTCTAAAAATGAGCACTTTTGTGTTACGCTTACTGAAACAGTTTAGAGGGTCACAGTTTAAATTGTTTGTCTATGATCCCATTAGAAATAAAATTAAAACATCTAAACTGTTCCCTTCCATTTTTTTTTCGAGAAAACGTCAAAAATCATCATTTTCGTCTTTGTGTACATATTTTCAATGATCACCAGCACCAGTCAGGACCAAATCACCAGCACAGAACGTTCTCTCGCAGGACAACCTTACCCACCGTGTATATACAACACAACAACAGATCCATGCAAACCAAAACGCAGCATAACTGTTTTTTTAAGACAAGAACTAACCAAGAATTTCAAACACCATATCACTACAATTACAATCGGTTCTTAAATGAAAATGGAATTATTCCAAAAACTTCCATATTTTAATCCATTGCAACTGATACCTAAATTTTGGCATTGCATAAGGTCATGTTATTCTCTGACTGTAAATCACGTTTTTACACTCAATACATCGGAAGTCGAATGTATATTTGATGATTTTTAAGTCTCTGATAAATGATTTTTCTTTATTTCAAAATTGTTATAGGCTATAAAAAAGCTCTAAATAACTGTTATTTGTTGTTTTTATGCTTTTTTTATGGATTTTTTATGTATCGTCTCTTTGCAAATATATCGTTTAAAAATTATGTTTAAAATAATAGCTCACAAAAAATATTAATCCATTCGAAAATAACATCTAAATGAGTTAAACAGATAAGGAGATATCCAGATTTACACATGGCTTTTTCCATATCGGCCCGGAAATCATCACGAGACCCCAATATCAGCACGGTCATACCAGGATTTTTGTGCCTGTTCGAAGTCAGGAGCCTCGGGCGGGCCTCTGTTAGTCTTGTATATATTTTATTTTATTAGTTTTTGTTCATTTTATGTTTTGGAGGTTAATGTGACGTCCATTTTTATTGAAGAAGTACACATTTTGTTTAGGGGCCAGCTGAGGTCTGCCTCTGGTTGCGGTATTTTCTCACTGTGTGAAGACCTAGTGGTGGCCTTCGGTTGGTTTTCATCTATTTGACACATTTCCCATTCCCCTTTTTCATTTTCAAATTTATTATTGATATAATTAAATAATTATAATTTTTCAGACAAGCAAAGAATGAGCCAACAGAGCACATTAAGTGGTTCGTCTGAAACAAAAGACAGTACAGGTATGTACAGAATATTTGTCTTTAGAAACTGTATGAAAAAGGACATATATATCGTTGTCCTCAGTCTAAAATAGATTGAAAACAGTGTCGTCATGTCATCATCGACTCTTTTTCATCCTATTGTTAATGTTGGTGAAAACGGCAAAAACCTGATGAAAAATATATGAATATTGTGCATATCACATTTTGAAAAGAATTTTTATATAACTAGAATAATACATAATACGCCTATAAGAATAAAACAAACTTCAAGTACTCACAAAGCATCCGACAATGTAGTGATGGTATGCCGAAAATAAATACTATACTATACATTATTGAAATTATAAGTTCTTCTTCATTCAAGTCCGTGCGTCATATAGTAAACAATCATATCATTACCATATATCAGCTTAATGTCTCTTTTGAACTTTTGAAGGTCCATAGTTATCGAAGGTACCAGGCTTATAATTTGATTTTGTCTACATAAGACTCATCAGTGACGCTCAGATCTAAATAGTTAGAAAGCCAAACACGTATAAAGTTTTATGAATTGGTTACCTACACTACACAAAAACGCAGTAAGATGTCATTTCAAATCAACCTCTAAGAAGTGTTATACAACTAAAATTTCAGTGCTTTTAACTATTTTTTTAAAGTATCAAAGAACTAATCATTAACCTTTGTAATTAATTCCCTGAAAATAGTGGAATTAACTATTTTTAGAGTGTAAAAAGTACTTTGGTTTGTCATATGCCTACCTTGATAAAACTATTTTCCCAAGAAAATAGTGGGTAAAACCTGTTTTTATAGCTAGCTAAGCATCCCACTTGTATGAAAATTGTTTATCGTTCCGTTATATTGACATAATGGGGTGAACATTCCGAACAGACATAATGTTTAATGTGATAATAATTTGGGATCCAAAAGCCATAACTGTGTAGACATACATCACAGAGACATACAACACAACTAGCCAAAAATTATAAAGAAACATATCAATAAATTTAACGAAGACGCCAAAACGGTTTTCGTAATTGAAAGTACATACCGGGTATAGTATACACTCTCTCGAAAAAGTACAAATCAAATTATATATAAAAACAAGGGAAAACAAAATGGAAATAACACTGTACAAACCTCTTGCGTCCGAATCACACCTCGGGACCCTCCTACACCAAAAGTAAAAAACCCGATAACGGGATGCATACAAACTGAGTCACGTCAAAAGTCATACCACCAAAAATAGCATAAAAGCATGAAGACAAATAAAGGGAGAACTTTAAAGTAAATAAAATGATACACAACTTCAGCACATATAATCTATCTCAAGACCATATTTTATTATTTGTGAAGTAAACACTTAATACTGAACTTCTTTGTCCTTTTCTATGAACTTTTTGAGAAAAAAGACGAGACTTTCTTTGACAAAGCACTGGCTCATTAATTATTTGCTCAGACACCAACGACGTTTTACAAAGTCTGAGTATCAGCTTAAAACTCTTGAATACCGTATGAGTTGAAAAACGTTTACTCCATACGCAGTTGAAGTTTGTATATTGCTGCTAAGGTGAGAAAAATTATAATTTCAAAATTGAAATCGTCTCGTTTTTCATAGATTTGGGTACGGAGATTACTGATGTTGTCAAATTCGAGGTAAATGTCTAGTAATGAGGCGAAGGAAGATGTATCTGTGGTTTCTCTAATCTCTATTTTCAGAAGGATATATAAGTGGGATACAATCAGAAAAGTCTGGATTAATAATGGAAAGAACATAATCAAAATACATATGTGTGAAATTAAATAATCTTCAAATTGCAGGAGACAAGTATTAGAGAACATTAGTCTCCTACTTGAAACAGGAACTTCAAGAATGGATTTTTAATGTTTAAACCATTGTGGTGACGTCAGCTTATTCATTTACCGTGGATTCTTTTTCTAGAATCGACGCTTCCTAAATCTGCCGCTGAAATTGACTCACCAAATTATATTCAATTGTGTCCTTTGTGTGCCTTATTTCATTAAGTTTGAATTGGCTAATTTACTGATTTCTGTTCACTAATGGAATTAATTTAAAAACATACCTTTAATTTTTGTATTCCTTCACTGGGAATCGAACCCTTACTTGAAATCTGTTATGTGTGACTGACATCAACACATCGACGAAACCGCTCGGCTACCAATGGGTTACACCATAGATGTCTTTTTTATATATTTAAATGAACATCTGATATACATCGGTTCATCGGACACTTAGGGCTTGTACCTTTATATAGGCACAATAGGCAGTCGTATAGTATGAGTTGGTAGCCGCGAGGTTAGCATGGTTAAAATCAATGAGTTAAAGATAGGGATTTGTCGGTTTAGGTTCGAATCCCTGTATTCTCTCTTTTGTTCCAATTCTTAAGTTATCCTGTTTTTTTTTTTAATTTTGCATGTTATAGTGGATATTTTTGTAATAATAGCGAGTTCTACCGGTTTTTTTTAATTATTACTGGCTATTTCACATGTTTGAAACAAAAATTATTACATTCTATTTATCAATTTTTGTTTTATAAATATAGTATGATTTCATCTGTTTTACTGCATAATTTTACAATGGTTTGTATTAAAAACCTATGCGAGAAAATCGTGATGTGCCTAGAGTGCTAGAAAAATTTCGATAACATACCGTTATAATATATACTTTATATATGCTTTTTGGTCGGGTTGTTGTCTCTTTGACACGTTCCCCATTTCCATTTTCAATTTTATTAGAAATAATTTTGAATATGTCTTATTTTGTATAAACAGATAATATTCATATACCTGGTAAAATAAAGATCTTTAAATGTAGAAGCGTTGTGTTATATTTGTATTTTGTTAACCAATTAACTGTGATCTGAGATTTATCAATGCATCGTTGGACACGATAACATGGTTATTTAAACTCACTTACAATACTTACAAATTAAGAAAAGGCTTTAATTTTGAAAAGAAATAAACACAATAGTTGAAGTTATAGATACAATGGATAAGCGTAGATTCATGAAAAACAAACCATTCGCCCTCCGGGCTCATTGTTTCTTTTTCAAGAATCCACGCTTATCCATTGTATCTATATAACTTAAACCATTGTTGTGACATCAGCCTATTCATTTACCGTGGATTCTTTTTCTAGAATCAACGCTTCCTAAATCTGTCGCTCAAATGAACTCACCAAATTGTATTCAATTGTTTCCTTTGTGCGCCTAATTTCATTAAGTTTGAATTGGCTAATTTACTGATTTCTATTCACTAATGGAATTAATTTAAAAACTTACCTTTATTTTTGTAATTTCTATATGCCTACACTGGGAATCGAACGCGTCCTTAAAATCTGTTTTGTGTGACTGTCATCAACATATCGACGAAACTTCTCGGCTACCAATGGGTTACAATTTAAATGTCTATTATTTATACATACATAAATGAACATATAATATACATCTGTACAAAGGACACACAGGGCTTGTACCTTTATAAATACATAATAGGAAATCGCGAGGTTAGCATGGTTAAGATCAATGAGTTAAAGATAGGGACTTGTCGGTTTAGGTTCGAATCCCTGTATTCTTTTTGTTGTCCCTATTCTTTAGTTTTCCTGTTGTTTTTTTTTTTTCTTGTTTTGTATGTTATTGTGGATATTTTTGTAACAATAACGAGTTTTACCGTTTGTTTGTGGACTATTATTGGCTGTTTCAAATATTTGAAAAGAAAATGATTACATTCTATTTGTCCATTTTTGTTTTATAAATATAGTATGATTTCATCTGTTATACTACATAATTTTACAAATGTTTGTTAGAAAATTCCTATGCGAGAAAATCGTGATGTGCCTAAAATTAGGGCTTCTTGTTCGGTAAATACTTATTATGTATATCTTATATATGGTCTTTGGTCGGGTTGTTGTCTCTTTGACACATTCCCCATTTCCATCCTCAATTTTATTAGATTTGTCTTATTTTATAAAAACCGATAATATTCAGATGCCTGATAATATAAATATCTTTAAATGTAGAAGCGTTGTGTTATATTTGTATTTTATTAACCAATTAATTGTGATCTATGATTTATCATTCAATGCAGCGTTGGACATGATAGCATGGTTATTTAAACTCACTTAAAATACCTTCTAATTAAGAAAAAGGCTTTAATTTTGAAAAGAAATTAACACAATAGTTTAAGTTATAGATACAATGGATAAGCGTAGATTCATGAAAAACAAACCATTCGCCCTCCGGGCTCATGGTTTCCTTTTCAAGAATCCACGCTTATCCATTGTATCTATATAACATCATCCCTTTGCAAATATAACGATTTAAAATTACGTGTAATAAAAAAAATATTTCACAAATGATATTAATTTGCATTCGATAATTAAAGGTTTCCTAACGAGTGAGAATGGGATATCGCTTGATATCAACTCGAGTTATTTAATTTCAATATAATAATAAACGAGCCTTTGGCGAGTTGATATCAAGCAATATCCAATTTTCACAAGTTCTTACTATAAAAAAAGAAGATGTGGTATGATTGCCAATGAGACAACTCTTCACAAGAAACTAAATGACACAGAAATTAACAATATAGGTCACCGTACATCCTTCAACAATGAGCAAAGCCCATACCAAATATACAGCTATAAAAGGGCCTGAAATGACAAATGTAAAACAATTCAAACGAAGAAACTAACGGCCCAATTTACGTACAAAAAATAAACGAAATACAAATAGGTTACACAGCAACAAATGACATTCACTGAATTACAGGATCCTACCTTGGGACAGGCACATACATACAGAACCTATTTTACATATTGTCAAAACTCTCAATGTGTAAAATTAAAAATTTCGCGAAATATTGATTCAGTCTTTTGCACATTCCAGTATGACGTCATATGTCCTTTTCCGGTGTCAAACATTAACATGAGACATTTTAAGACTTTTTGTACGCTTCAGAATGTAATACAATTTGACAAAAAGAAAATTGTCAGGTGAAATGTGTGAGTGTTTTGTATATTATTGAAGAAATCACAATGTCCGTAGCCATGGACGAAATGTAAATCGTCTTAACCTTTGAAAGTCATCATTGACCTAACGAATAACCAATGGAAATGCCGTAATATCGTCTTGTGAAGCTGAATAAGCCAACCAAATCAACGCAGATTTTCGTATCACACTCCGTGCAGTGGGATACGAGAACTATTTATTCATGCAAGAACTAGATAGCTAGCCACAACCATAAGAGAATATATAAATGAGTTTAACAGATAATGAGATATATCTTTAAATCATAATTTTGCATAGAGACAACATTATCTTGAAAGTTCCTGTGAAAACGATTTGACATATGTGTTTAAAAACTTGATTGGAAAAAATAGAGATGGACGATTTAAGGAAATCTATCAATCTCAAGATATCCAGGAACACTCTGAAATATGAAACGAAAGAAGTGGTTTCATGGTAAAAGTCACATAAAAGCAGCAAACTAATGACAAAATCCCCAAAACAAGTTTATAGGTCAACATATGATCTACATTATTGGAAAGAATTCCATATGGTACCCCCACGAAATAAACTGTAATGTTGTAATGTTTATTTCGTAGAGAGGGCGATGCCATATGGAACTCTAACCTACAGATTTTGAATATATTCTTTAAATATTCAAATGATTGTAATTTTCAGACAGGCAAAGAACAAGCTTCCAGAGTACCTTAAGTGATTCGTCTACATCTGAAACAAACGAAGGAACAGGTAGGTGAAGAATATTGGCTATAGAAACTTTCTGAAAAGGACCTAAATATCGTCCTCCGTCTAAAAAAGCTTAAAAAGTAAAAAAAAACAAAAATACCGAACTCCGAGGAAAATTCTAAACGGAAAGTCTCTTAGCAAATGGCAAAATCAAAAGCTCAAACACATCAAACGAATGGATAACAACTGTCATATTCCTGACTTCTTACAAGAAAATGGTGGATTAAACCTGGTTTTATAGCTAGCTAAACCTGTCACTTGTATGACAGTCGCAAAAAAACAACATTGTCGTCGGGTCATTATTGACGCTCTTTCATCTTATTGTAAATATTTGTGTAAACGGCAAAAATCTGATAAAATATATATGAATATTCGAATATCACATTTTGAAAAACACTTAGAAATGAATAAGAGGGTACATAATACGCCTATTTCTAGAATAAGAAACAAACTTCAAGTACTCGCAGAGCGCGTTGTGTTTGTACCAGTCCCTACTATGTATTGGTTACCAAAACTACACACACAGAAAACTTGTAAAATATCTGTCATGTCGGCCTCTAGCAAATGTTCTCAACTTATATTTAAGTGATTTTAATGAGTTCCTTAGTTACTAGCAAAGAACTTATCATTAACTTTTAAAAAAAAGCATGTGATAATAGTGGAATTTACTATTTTTGGAGTGTAGAAAAATTATTGGATGTTTTAGATAAATCACGTGTTTATGATGGTCCTTTTAATTAAGTGGACAGTTTTAACTTTTCAACTCTTTACACTACATTTTCACACAATCTTATCAAACAAAACTCGTCTAATTTAATCCTATGGTTGTTTGAACAAATCTGATTGCAAATTCATCTGCTGCAACTCAAATCAAAGCTTCTTCTGTAATAAAAAATGTAAATATGCTAGATAGTTACTGGAGATGTGATGGGATGATTAAAGCTGTAAATTGTTCTCCTTGACAACATTCATGTACGTTTCGGCAATTATAGTTTCTAGACATGTTGTAGGTATTCCTATGGGTGGGCACTAATTTCGTCCCTTTAATAGCAGGCTTATTCCTGTACTGTTATGAATCACAGTTAATGGCCAAACTCAGCAGAGATCCACCTAAATTCCATTGAATTGATACATTTAACAACCTTTACGGTTATCTGTATAATATGTTTTCGTTCAATAATCAAGATTTCTCTAAATATATTACCGAAATTTGCACAAAAGAACTTACTTTTCATAAATCAAATATAAACAGCAATAACTGTATTTTTCTATATTAGATACTTCATTTTTAAAAGGAAATACTACACACAAATTTACGACAAAAGGGAAAATTTTTCTTTTTTGGACGATGATGTTTCTTTGGCACAATCTTACGGTGTTTCTTTATCTAATGTCGTTGCTATACCCGTGTGTGTAGTGTCGTTTTGAATTTCAATGAACGTAATCTATGTATGACTGGTAAATTGTTAAACTCGTAATTTAGATACGATCCGGGTAAACTTATCGATCTTGTAAATAAATTTTTTTTGAAAGGTTACCAATTCCACACTGTTAAATATTTGAATATGGTTTTCATCAGTATAAATATTGATTTTGTTGTGAATAAATCAAATCCCAAATAAATGTTGATGTTATACACATATGTACATTCACGGTTCTACAATCTGTCGATACCTATATTTTGGCATTGCACAAGGTCATGTCTGTTAAACCTGGTTTTATAGCTAGCTAAATCTCTAACTTGTATTACGGTTGCTTGTCGTTCCGTTATATCGACAAAATTGGGTGAGCAACCTGAACAGATATAATAGGTTAATGTATTTTACAATCATTTGCACACACAAACCAAATCTGTGTAAACATACTTCACAAACATACAACACAACTGACCAAAAACTCAAACAAACACATCAATTTGATTAAAGACGCCAACAATTAACTTTTTGCAGTTGATAAATTGATAGTACATATCGTATATAGTATACACTTTCTCGATAAAGTACAAACTAAGTCAAACATAAATACAAAATGGAATCAACACCGTAAAAACCATTTGCGTCCGAATCGCATCCCAGGGCCCACGTGCACCAGTAACACCAAAAGTCAAAAACGGATGCATAAAAACCGAGTCACGTCAAAAGTCACACGACCAAAAGAAACATAATAGCATGAAGACAAATAAAGGGAAAACTGTAAAGTAAATAAAAAGATACACAACTTCAGCACCTATAAGCTTTAACTCAAGACCATCTTATAGTATTTGTGAAGTGGACACTGAATATCTATCTACTTGTAAAAATAAAAATAAGAAGACCATATGATATAGAAGTTAACAGCTATAGGTCACCGTACGGTCTTCAACAATGAGCAAAAACCATACCGCTTAGTCAGCTTTAAAAGGTCCCGAAATGTCAAATGAAATGTAAAACAATTCAAACAAGAAAACTCACGGCCTGATTTATGTACAAAACAATGAACGGAAAACAAATCTGACATACAGCAACAAACGACAACCACTGAATTACGGGCTCCTGACTTGGGACATGTACATGCAGAATGTGGCGGGGTTAAACTAGTTATTTGGCGCTAAACCCTCTCCCTAACCTTGGACACTGGTGTAACAGTACAACATAAGAACAAACTATAAAAATCAGTTGAAAAGAGCTTAACTCATCTGATCAATACAAAGCAGAAACACGTCCAATATAAACACAGATCGGACTAGGCAGGGTATGTATACATCCCTATAACAAAAAAGAAACTAAGTATAGATTTGAGAATACTCGCAGTTACTGACAGCTAGTTCGAAGCCAAAAAAAACTAATAAAAAAAAACATGCATCTAAGTCTGAAATATTAATCAGTACACACCCAATATCAAATGGATTTAGAGCCATGAATGTGCATATGTCTATAATAATAATATGTAGTTTGATTTTAATTTACTGATATCCAAATCAATATTTTTACTAAAAAAACAATATTCAAATATTTAATTACAGTGTTGAATTGGTAATCTTTTATAGAATAAGTTTATTTAAAGCATCAATAAGTTTACCCGGATGGTATCTAAACAGACAAACTTCCAAACAAAATCTTTATATCTAAGGAAAAATTTAGTAAAGGTTTTAAGTAACTTGTGGTAACGAAATCCCTGACTTATTAATTTACCAGTAATACACAGATAACGTTCATTGAAATCCTAAACGTCACAACCAGACACTGGCATAGCGAAAAAGTTATTGTGATATACGAGGAACATCACCGTCAAAAAAAGGAAAATTAACAATAGGGGACGCACAATCGCCCCTTTTGTCGTAAATTGTTGTGTACAGTTTCCCTTATTGAACCGAAATGTCTAAATCTAGGAAAGGACAGCTACAGGTATTACTGTTTGTATTGATATATTTAAAGTCATTTTCTTTGGGTAAATTTCGGCTGTATATTTAGAAAATTATTGATTATCTAAATACAAAATATCATCAAGATAATGGTAAGTGTTGTGGATTTTTCAATTAAATGCAATTTAGACGAGTTTTTACTGAGATTGGTCACAAACACACTCCGTTTTGCGAGCACTAGAAGTTTGTTTCTTATTCTAGAAATAGGCGTATTTTGTACTCTTTATTTATTTCTGAATTATTATCAAGATGTAATATTGATGTTATCTTATATAAATCAGTACCTCTGTTAATATATTAAAATTTCAGAAAATGCCGTTCATGATCTTCAGGTATCGATAAATGAGAACAGCCTTTAAAGTCAAGAGTGTTCTTCGGTAACTGTTCCCCGTATATATGATAGGTTGAAAGTATTTCATATGTGAAATGACATGAACATTTTTCCAACATGTTTCACTTAAACTAGTTGTATTTTGAATAGATAATTTTACAATTGCTATAGGTGAGACACTAAGTGTTCTAATTTCAATCGATAAACGGTAAGAGTGGATGAACATTAAATAACCTTTTTTAAAAAACAGGTATGCATGTTGGTAAACGCCTCTTCAATGGTCTTTTTGTAACAGGATTTGCACTTTTATGTTTGTCTATTTGTGGCAATTGTTTCTTCAATAAATTAAGAGCTGCATTCACGAGAAGAAAAAAAACGCCGTTCAGATGACAATTAAAATTAGGATGTGCTGCAAGGAAATGATACGAATACCGACACGGCAAATGACACAGCTCTAGGAGAAAATGTAAATGTATTCTCTCATTACGAAACAATTTACAAAAATGGGATGATCTAAATGTCCATTCCTACGTCTAGTCAAAAGTTGTCCAATTTTGCTAGTGTCTCAATCTCTACAACCGGACAACACGAATTTAGAAGTCATTGAAGACTCCAGCAATAAAGAATTACATCCAAGAACCAAAATGAAGGGAGATGAAGACCATCTTAGCATAATCAGCAGCTCCACGACAGAGTAAAGAAACACTACATTGTTAACAAAAACCGATTAAGAAAACAAAAGTAACGCAATCAACACTGAATTTCCAGTTACAACTGAGAGAAATAACGTTAAAACTTGCAAAACGAGCAATTATTCTATATCAGTCTCATCTTCAACTTCAAAACTTCAAAGAGATAAAAAGGCGCACGAACAATTAACGGCTTTAAATACAAATGATATGAAATATTCTAACACTTACGGCGCATCATTTAACTGTAAAAAGCTATGGGAAAATTTATTCAATTATCATATAACAGTGAACGACTAATATTTAACTAGAAAGTGTAACATCGATTACGTCTGTTTTTGGTTAAAGATACATGTGCATTTATGTAAGCATTGCAAAGACTAACAAAAAGCGCAAATACGTTAAAAAGGCTGTTCCAATAACAAAATATATATAGGGTTCTACTGACCCTATGTCTCGCCATAGTCAAGTTCTGAAATTCAAGCAATCAAAATTTTAATTTGGTAAAAGGTTATTCAGAATAATAGATATGGCACCTGCATGCAGGGTTTCCACTGATTCAATTTTTT